GGGGCGGGGAGCCGCGGCCGCGCCGGGTGCCTCCCACCCCGCCCTCAGCGCCCCCGCCCCTCCAGGAAGGGGAGGAGGCGAGGGGAACCCGCCGCGGAGGCCCAGCGAGCCCCCCGCCCAGCCCGGCGACCGGGGACCCCCGCACATGAGGTGGACGCCCCTCGGGAGCACTAGGGTGCAGAGCCCGGCGCGAAGGTAACCCGGAGACCGCGGGCTGGGGAGGGGCAGGACCTCTGGGGGCTTGGCTGCGCGGGGTGGCTTCTGCAGCCACCTCGGTCTGTGGAACGCCCCAGGTACCTCCCCCAGTTCCTTCCCCTGCCTACCTCTAGCGCTTAGCTCTGCGGTCCTTCGGCTCTGCCTGTCCAAGACTTGCTATTCGTGTCGCTGTGCTTAATACTGTCTGTCCGTCACCCTAGTTGCTTCTGACTGCTCATTTTCTCATTCATTTTCCCTCCCTGACTTTGGTTCTCCCATCGAAGCTTGCTGTCTAGTTACCGCTCTGCTTTTTGTGGTCCGCTGAGTTCCGCAGCGTCCAATTACTTGACTTCTGTCTTCTGCCTGTCTCACCGCTATCAGCAAGCACATTTCCCCGCTCACTTGGGTCGCTTCCCTCCTGGTACTCTACTCTGTCTGTCCCCTTCCCCCGGTGTTTTTGACGCCTCTTTGGAACCTCATTTTCATCAAGGTTCTATATACAACGAGGACTCCTGGGCGTCTACTCTCCCTGCGCTCCAGATTACTTCCATTTCTTGGGCACAATCTTCCCCGAACCACCCCCTTCTCCCGCCCCCGTACCCATGCCCCATCCTTTCTACAAGATAGAGTTTTATGGTTAGGGAAATTGATTTCCTCCACCTCTTGGCTCAGTAGGCCCAGCACCAGTTCCACTTCAATATCCTCTCCTAGCTCCCTTCCAGGGGTCTGTGCTCCTACCCACCCAACCCATACACACCAAAGACTACCTTTCAGGATGAGCGTAGTTTAGTTATTAAGGAGACTGCATGGTTCAGCTTCTCACTCCTTCTTCCCATTTAATTCTGAAGACTTAAACTCACTGTGCCCTCCTAAACTTCTTGTTGTCTTCATTTTCTGTACTTAATTTTACACTTCCAACATTGATCCCAAACAAATAGATTTCTGTGCATGGGATCTAGGAATCCTGGTTTTGATGACAATTTCCCTTGATTTTTTTTAACCTGGTTTCCTTCCTATCTCTAGATCCATTTCACAGCCTGAAAAAAATATTAATAAGGCTTCCATTTTGGGGGAGATGAGGGGTCATATAGCTTAATTAGCATTTTCACCTATGAATGTAGGAATTAATGTCTCCTCTGCCTAGTAAAGGGGGGTCTCCTGTCTCTGAGTCCAGTGACCTATACAACTATGCGTGCTGCCTCTAATCCTTACCCACTTTTTTTCTTCACATGCTGATAATGAGGATTCATGGGTCTGTATCTGTTTAGTGCTTTGATATTTTGGCAAAAGATGTGGGGCGAAGATAGACTAGAGTTGAAGCTGATATGATCTCTCCTATGTACTTGGGTTATATCCATGTTTGCAGTGACATTTGCTATTCTAAAATGAAACTGAAGAGATGGGTAGTTCTTGGGGGATACTGATGCTATCAGATGATATGGGGAATGGAATAACAAGAAATGTCCCCAACTCTATTTCTAACACCAAGTGGTTTGATTTTATTTACTTTGCTTGTTTTGGATGCAGTCATTAAGATAAATCTACCTACTAAAACTGCTGATAGCCCCCAGCAGAAATTCTGGTTTATAAATAGTGCTTTGCTGACCTAAGATTTCTAGTGGCCCCGTGCCTCAAAAGTATAAAATACAGTGTCTAGGTTTAGCAAAAGGGAAAGAAAAAAAGAATGAACAAAAAAAAACACCTTATTGTCATTTGGTGCTGGCTTAGAGCTCCCTGTCTTCTTGCTTCTCCTTTCCTATTTCTTTGCTTGGTTCTTACCAAGGTTTTCATACGTCTTTTTGGAAGTTTTAGTGTAGGCCCCAGAGGGTAAATTGTGACCACTTTACTGGACTAAAAAATTGAATCTTACTTTGTTGAAGATTTTCATTTCTGTATATTTAATATGTCGAATACCTGGGATTCATTTGTTAAAATAGATTACATTCAGTTGTGAAGCCGTCTTTGCAGATGGGGAAACTGAGGAATAAGAAGGGAAAGTGACATGCCTGACGTGTTACTATCAGTAGCCTGAGCTGGAGCCAGGCAGCTATTTGGGCTGTGTGGACTGTAGGCCAGCTCTTCTACCTCTTAGTTTTATGACTTTTCATGATGCATTTTACATATGTGTATCTTAGGCTCCTCCTCCATAAAATGAGGACAGCGAGTACTCAAACCGAGTGACACTGCCTTAATCACAGATTTTTTCTGTTTTGAAGAAGCATGTGCTAGTCTCAAGACTTGAGACCTACTGGGACAGCTTCTTTAACCTCAGAAAACCTAATAATGGAGATAATATTATTTACCTTAAAGCACTGCGAGAGATAATGGAGGTGAAGAGCTTAGCTCAGTGAGAGGAGGCACCTAGTGGCTCCTCAGTAAATAGTAACCATGGTTAAGATGATACTGATAAGGACCTCGCAGATGCAGATGTAAACTAGGTAGCAGTAAGTTTTAAACAGGAAGATTTAAAACTGTTAAAAAGTGTTATGGGAATGTAGGGTGTCCTTAGTATTATGAGGTGCTGTCTTACATTCTTGCCATTTTATTTTTAATGACAGCTATGAGGGAATATGTAAAAGTTGTTTCTTTTAAGACACTGCGTAGCTTCAGAAGGTGGTGTGGGGAAAAGTATATTATGGTTTTGGTAGTTATAAAGCCTGAGAAATTGTGATTTATGGAAGAAGATTCTTAGATAACTTGAATCGTAACATGAAATAATAGTTTGAGATCAGGTGTAATTTAATCCTTTGCTACTTCCATCTAGGTCTTGAGTCAGAGCACCAGCCTTGGGGACCCTGGACCACTATCATGGAGACTGAGAGTGAGCAGAACTCCAACTCTACCAATGGGAGTTCCAGCTCTGGGGGCAGCTCTCGGCCCCAGATAGCTCAGATGTCACTGTATGAACGGCAAGCAGTACAGGTGAGGCTCGGCTCTGCAGGGCTGTGATCTGTGAGTACTGGCTTGCGGTAGGCAAGGATGCTGGAAGATAATCGCCCTTAGTTCCTTTCCAGAAAACTGGGGGAGCTGGATTAGGTGATGACTAAGGTCCCTTCTAGTTCTGAGAATCTTAGGAGTTTACAACAGTTTGAGCAAGCAAACAGAATGAGATTCAGTCTTTAAGGTTTTGTTTTTTTTTAAATACCATTCAATTCATGTAGCTAAATTCTAACCATTTCTCTTCATGGTTTGTCAGGTTTATAATCTTTGGTCTTTTTGTAAATCACCCTGAGCAATGGAAGAATAAAATAGTAAATTCCATGTTTTTAAAAATATGCTTGGGAATGGGGTCCTTAAAGTATTTTGGTTACTAGAATAACTGCACATCATAAGAATAGTTCTAATCATTAAAGAATAAGAATATGGTAACATCCTAAAGTTAACACTTAAAACTAAGTTACCAGTATCATTTTTATAAATGTCCATTAGCATTATATTGTAGATGTTTGAAAATGCCAGTTATTTGAAAATTTTACCTGATAGAATCTTTCATAAGCCACTGTTTACTTGAGTTTTTCATTATTTTTAACCCCTTAGGGCTTTATCACCTCTATTGTATCCCTAGAATATGGTCTTTTATTTTCTTCTTCTCTTCACATTAATGGACATCCTGTTTATTTGCAACCTTTCTAGTCCCAATCCTCTCCCTTGCTGGTTTCATTTTGGGAAATAAGTGTTCCTGTGAGTTACGCTGCTTTGTTTTGTATAAGAATAGAGCATAGCAGAATTAACTGCTGCTCCACTTTTTGAGGAGTATGTGAACTTACTGGTTCTCATGTTCACAAACAGGACAAGCCAGAAGCTGATGATTTAGCCAGACTCCCATCTTCCTTTGTTTCTCTCCTTGCCATGTGTCCCTTTCATAGGATCACAGCGATATGCATAGTGTAGAGGTTAGCAGTGATTCATTCTAAGTCGGCTGATCCTCTCTTTCTCCTCCTAGGCTCTGCAGGCACTGCAGCGTCAGCCCAACGCGGCTCAGTATTTCCACCAGTTCATGCTCCAGCAACAGCTCAGCAATGCCCAGCTGCATAGCCTGGCTGCAGTCCAGCAGGTGAGAGGTCAGCAGCCAGCTGGCCCAAGAGGGAGGGGAGAGGCGCCACAGGTGGGTGGGGGCATACTGCATCCTCCACTAAGCCCGGCTGGAAACGTTCTCCTCTGCCTCCTGTCCTCCTGTCGGAGGGTGAAGAGATCTTAGCTTCTGGGGTTGCAGTAAGGACTGTGGGAAAATTGCCTTTTAGAGCTAGAATGGCTATGCCGAGACCTGCACTGTGTAGCATGGTCGCCACTAGCCGCGTGGAGCTATTGAGTGCTTAAAGTGTGGCCATTCCAAATTGAGATGTGCAGCAAGATTTTAGATTTCAAAGACTTAGGAAAAAAAAAAAAGTAAAATATCGCAGTAGTTTGTTTACATTGGTTACATGTTGAAATGAGGGATATATTTGCTTAAATAAAATCAATTATTAAAGTGTACTTCTCCTGTTTCTTTTCCCTTTTAAAAAAATGTGCATATTCGAAAATTATATATGCGGTTCACATTATATTTGTATCGGACAGCTCTGGGTTAGACTTACCAGTGATGTGACCTGACCAAAGGTTCTTCCACTTAAAAGAAAGTGGGAGAAAGAGGACAAGTTGCCTGCCTGCGCCGGGAGGGTTATGTGGGAATGTTTGGGTTAGCATATGTGGTAAGGTGAGGTTACTGCATAGTGAATATACTTTTCCTTGCTCCATAATAGTCTCTCGGTTCTTAACCTGAAATCTTTATTGCGTTTTGTGCCTCCGATTTATTGCCGGAAGATTAAGATCCTTTTCCTTCATTGCCTCTGCTCTTTCTTATTTCCTTTCCTCTCTGACAGGCCACAATTGCCGCCAGTCGGCAGGCTAGCTCCCCAAACACCAGCACTGCACAGCAGCAGACTACCACCACTCAGGCCTCAGTGAGTACTGCTTCGCCCCACCGAGAGGCTTCTCTCTCTGCGTCTTTGTCTGTGTGTTAAACTTTGTGCAGCTGATCGCAGAGTGTTTATTGAGCCATCAATGGTATTAGCTGCTCTTATGCAGAGAATGTTAGTAGAAGGAGAAGTCACCAGCTTGAATCTATATAGGAGTCTTAATGAGGAGGACTAAGAAAGGAAGAAAATCCTGGGGAAGAAGAGGAGATAATAAAGAAAAGGGAGTGATCTCTGGACCTTTCAATGAGAAGTAAAATCTGTTCCATTTCATTTCTTTGCCTTCTCAGCTGTTACACTAGTGGTTAGGGACTGGTTTCTTTACTTTGGTGATACCCCCCAGTAGCCAGGATGACAGTTATGGGCAGAAAGGTATTATTCATTTCCTCCTGACTCTGTGAAAAGTAAGCTATTCTATTCTTGACCGTGTGACTCTGAATATGTCAGTCATTTACATTTCCTTTTACCTCTCCCAAATCCTTAGTCCTGGTTCCTTTCTATACCACGCAGATCAATCTGGCCACCACGTCGGCCGCCCAGCTCATCAGCCGATCCCAGAGTGTGAGCTCTCCCAGTGCTACCACTTTGACCCAATCTGTGCTACTGGGGAATACCACCTCCCCACCCCTCAACCAGTCCCAGGCCCAGATGTATCTACGGGTAAGCCACAGACACAACGGCCATTGTCCCAGGGGCATAATTGTTCTGAATCCTGGCTAGGACTTAAGTGAAAGCTACTTTATTTAACCCTAGTTACCCAGCTGTTTTAAGAAACGCTGATCTACTTCCTACTTACCTCTAGAAGTACCACTCAGTATTCACAGGTAGCCTGCAGGTTACATTGAGATACTAAGTTAGAAGATGTTCACCTTAACATTTGACTAAATTATCATCAGATAGTCTAATCTTTAAACCTGTGGCTCAAGTACACAAATTCTAAGTGTTATCTCTTAGCCTGTCTATACTTACTGTACATAAATACTTGTTCTAAAATCCTCGCTGTCTCAGCTTCTTTGATGTTTGACTCTTTGTTATCAATCTACATTTTTATACACATTCTAGGTTTTCTTCTGGATGATGCATCACTTATGGAGAATAAGGGTCTCCTGGGTTGGTGTGGAAAGGGGCAGGGCTTAGCTGTTTCGTATCTTCTGTTTATTTTGTCTTGTGGTCCTTCCCTTCCGTTTCTTCTGTCTTCTTTTCCTCTTGTTCTCTTTCCTCTGCTCTTCCTCCTCCTCCTCTCCTTGCCAGCCACAGCTGGGAAACCTATTGCAGGTAAACCGGACCCTGGGCCGGAATGTGCCTCTAGCCTCCCAACTCATCCTGATGCCTAACGGCGCAGTGGCTGCAGTCCAGCAGGAGGTGCCATCTGCTCAGTCTCCAGGAGTTCATACAGATGCAGATCAGGTCAGTGGCAACCATTGACCTGTGGATGGGCACTGGGGAGGATGAAGGGAATGACCGTAGACTAAGGCCACCCTTCCACCCCATTACCACTTTTCAGAATTTTTATTTTTTTATTTTTTATTTTTTTGCCCTTCATTTCTATAGAACTTGAATCCCTTACAACTTTTGAGTTATTTGAGTTAGGAAGGGAGGTAGATTTCACTGAAAACAGCCCTCTGGGTCTGGGAAGCCTTATTCTTAACACAGGACCAATTTCCTTACCATTCTTTTAGCCCTCCATGGCTCAGTTGATTCAGGAAGTCTTACTTCTCTCTCCTTGCAGTACTGTCTCTGGAAGATGGGGGATGGTTGAAGGAATTCTACTGTTATATAGATGGCGCTGACCTGGCTAAGTTGCTGGAAGAATGTTTGATTCCTTCTCTTTATGAGTTCCTGTAGCTCTCAACTTTCAGCAGTCTGTTTCTATTCACTGTATTCCCAGTGAAATCTTCACCATTGCTTCCCATGCCTTATCCCCACAATATATGTAAAAGTGTTAGTGTTTTTTTTTTAAATATACCGGTATATCTCCTGAATTTTTTATCTTCTTATGAATGGGATATAAACTGGGATCTCATAATACTTATTTTATTCTTTTATCAGTTAGCAAATAAATATTGAGCTTTCTATTGATGTGCTCAATTGTATACTAGAAACTTTGGGGGATAGAAAAGAAATATGAGTCAAGTCTTTATAAAAAAGAGCTTAGAGAACAAAGAAGTACAAAAGTAAATGCACTAACTGAGTGACACAATTTTAGACAAGAGTTGGCTGCACTAATTCTCAGTGACTTTTGGGACACTTGAGCAAATTCTTGGAGGATGGGTATGATTTGATTTGGAGTAAGAAGAAAACTGGAGAGAGAACATGATCTGTAAAGGCATAATTTATATATGTGACTGTGAGCTGGGGGTGAGTGGATAAAGTGGAGACAACAGGCCTGATGATGGAAAAGGTCATTGTTAGGGAAAAATCTGAAAGCCAAGTAACTTCATAGGTAGCAGGGGTCGTTGCTGGCTATTGAACAGCAAATTAATAGGATAAGGCAAGTACTTTAGAAAGAATCACCTAGGAACACTGGCTGGAGAAGAAAAAGAAATTAGGGAATGTACTAAAAAACTCTTGGGGTCATTTTAGTTACATGTAAGGCCTTTGTTTTCGACTGGTAATAGTGGTAGGATCAGAGGTTGAGGTTGAGACTGCTTCCATATCCAGTTCTTTCATTTATCCATCTATTTGTTGAGTGTCAACATGTGGAGGGACAGAGTAGTGGTTGAAAATGTGAATCTGCTATTTGGGACAGATACCAGCTCTACAATTTACTGTGTGACCTAGGCAAATGACCTAACATCTTTCTGCCACGGTTTCTTCATATAGAAAATAACTTTTATAAAATACTTACCTCAGGGTGTGTTGTGAGGACTAAATGAGTTGATATGTATAAGTGCTTGAATAGTACCTGGACATAATGAGTATTTAAGAGTGTTAGCTGTCATTATGATGTATCAGACATTCCTTAACTTTGAATGCTCAAGAAAGTCATAATCGCTAGACTTATAGAGATTACAAATCACTGAAGGATCAGCCATTAAACAAATAACCACCTGAATGGTTTAGGAATTGCTTCATTAGAAAGTACAGAGTGCTGTGAAAACAGAAAGGGACTCAATTTAGCCTTGGGATGGGGGTAGAAGGCCTCCCTGTGGAGGTGACAGTGGAACTGGGGCCTGTAGAGAAGTTAGTCAGGTGAAGACTTGGAAGGAGAGTAGTGAAGGCAGGGGATTTTTGTGTCCAGAGATCTGAGGAGGGAGGAACTTTATATATTGGAGGAGTTGAAAGAAGACCTGTGTTCCTGGAGTTTGGCAAAGGGGGATAGAGATGGTGCTGGAGAGGTAGGTGAAACCTCATCCTTCAGGACTGTGGGTGCTGTGTTCAGGATTTGGGCTTTATGCGAAGCTATGGAAGGATTTCAAACATGGAATTGACATGGAGAGATTTGAGGGGTTCTTTCCTTCTTAATTTTAAAGATTCTTGGCTTCTCTGTGGAGAATAAATGGAAATGGTGTGAGTGTGACACAGGGCGAACAGCACCATCATAACAATCTAGGGGAAAGATGGTGTTTGGATTAAGTGATAACAATGAAGATGGAGAGAAACGGGTAGATTTGAGAAAAACTTAGAAGGTCAGTGAAGAAGAACAGAGTCAGTGGATGGGGAGTTGACGGAGATGCCAGAGATGAGATCTGACACAGTGAGGTGGCTGGTAGTGATAATTATGAGATAAAGAAATGTTGGAGAATTGGATTTAGGGTGAAGTTCACTTTTGGGTATGGCGACCATGCAGGAAGGAGATATTAGGTCAGCAGTTTTACTTATGTGGTGCTCGAGCTCAGAGGAGACCTCTGAGTTGGAGATAAACATTCAAAAGTAGTAGGCATATAGATAACAGAAGTCAAGGGAACGTTTGAAATTCCTTAGGGAGATGGTATGGATTGAGAAGAGAAAAGCCTTTAAGATGGAAAGCCTTTAGGATGAGCCCCTTAGAAAACAGAGCAGTTCAAGGTCGAGTACAGGGTGATGGGCTGGCAAAGGTGAGTAAGAAAGAGTGACAGAGAGGCAAGAGCATAGAATGAAACAAGAAGTGACGAGGGTCCTTCGTCAAACACAGTAAAGAGGCAAGAAAGATGGACTCTGTCAAATGCAGTAAAGGGCAAGAAAGGTAGAGCTACTGATACGGATGGAGAGCCTTTTCAGTGGAATCATGGGGGTGAGGGATGCCTGGATAGTGGGAACAGATACAGTGAATGGAAACAGGTAAGAGTTTAGCAGTGTCAGGAAAGGATGAAACTGGGGTAGGGGAGGTTTGGTTCAGGGACGCTGACAGGAGGGAGGGAGCCAGCAGAGGAGAGGTTGAAGAGACAGGAGAGAGCTGGTAACATAAGTTTCTTGAGAAGGAAGAAGGAGAGAACTAAGTGATGGGTGCTTATGCAGGTGAATGTGTGATTTGGTCCTGGAAGTAATGGACTCTCATGCTCATAATGGTTTCATTGTCTGCAGGGGTGAATGAGAGGGGAAAAAGGAAGTGGTTCTGAGGTACAAGGAGACTAGGAAAGTTTTAAGTAAGCCATTACGGAAAGGAAGCTGATTAGAAAAAAACTGTATAATTGCCTGATAATATTAAATGCCCCAACTCCTAATCCTAATCATTCTTGTAAATCTTTCTCAAAAACTGTCACTGCTTTACTGCTGTTGCCTGAATTCAGGTTCTTTTTTATTTTTAACCTGGATTACTGGACTAGTTTTCTCACTGGTCTCTTGACTTCAACCTTATCTGCTTCTAATCCTATTTCACATTATTATCAGAATAAGTTTCCTTAATATGAAAATATATGTTGTTACTAACACTTTTAATTGTATCTCTGCTATACAGAATTTGCTAAATCACAATCATTGGTTCATGACACCCTCTCATCAATGGTCCATTCATAGCCCACTTTTATTTATTTACTCAGTAAGTTTTAATAATATAATAAGCAGTTCCAGTTCCATCTACTGCCTGCCCCTACCCATGGTAAGAACATTCTGATTCCTAGGTTTATCCTTACTTGGTATCCGTAGAGTTTTATTGCAATTACATATACTAAAGTACATTTTATTATGGAAAAATTTAAACGTAAAAACGTAGCAAAAAAAGTGAATCCTTATGCACTTACTATTTAACTTTAGTATTTTATCAACACATGACCAGTCTATCCAGGCCCCTTACCTCCACTTGTGGGTTATTTTAAAGCAAATTCCAGACACCACATCACCACACACACACACACACACACACACACACACACACACACACACATACGGCGTGATCAAACCATATGATGAATATTTAAATAAAAATATTTATTACGCTAAAAGACACATTGCCATTAATTCCCCTCAAAACACTCCCCCTCACTTCGAACACACTTATCCCATAGTTCTTGCCAATTTCTGAAGAAGTTCTGGAAGTCCTCTTTTGTGAGTGTCTTTAGTTGCACTGTTGTGGCTGCCTCGATGTCCTGAATCATTTTGACTTTGGGGAAGAGCCACAAGTCACACAGTGCCAGATCCAGTGAATAAGGTGGATGAGGACACACTTTAATGTTTCTGACAGAAATTGCTGTACCAGAAGTGATGTGTGACATGGAATGTTGTCACGATGGACGATGATTTACTGAAAACTTTAAAACACTTTCTCTCAATTGTAGCTCACTCCCAACTGACTGCATTGACCAAGTTGAAACTTGTCACACACTGTTACTAAGGTTCAACGTGCCACTTCCTGTATTGAAGATCCCTGCCTTTCTGTTGGATGGCACTCAGCAACAGCATTCACCGTATTTTTCAATCACAAGGGAAAGGCTCTGTGTCACACATCATTTCTTTTTTTTTTTAAGATTTTTATTGGGGAATTGGGAGGATGGGAATAGCGCTGGGGAATTGGGGGAAGGGGAACAGACAAGCTGCTGTCGTTCTTCAGTCTACTTGTGGGGGACGTTGCTTCACTGGCCCAAGTTGGCACATCATTGCGCTTTTCCCGGGTGAGGCAGATCAGTCGCCAGCTTCTAGACGGCCGCTCACTGCGGCTGCTGGCTACACACGGTAGCCCATGGCAACCCATTGCAGCAGGGGCTGCAGCCTATGCCATCACCTGCAACTCAGGCGATGCTGGTTGAGCTGTTGTTCAGCATCTTAGCTGTAGAGGGCAGTGTCACTGGCTCTCATATGTGGGATCTGAACCGGGACCCCTGGCGCCCCAAGCCAGCTCTTTTTTTTATTTTTTATTTTTTTATTATTGGGGAATTGGGGGTATGGGAACAGCACTGGGGAATTGGGGGAAGGGGAACAGACAAGTTGCTGTCCTTTTGTTCTTCAGTCTAGTTGTGGAGGACGTTGCTTCACTGGC